AGGAAGGGCTCAGTATAAGAGAGCAATCATAAATATATAGCACTGAATACTGATATACCCAACTATACAAAATAAATATTAACAGATATGAAAAAATAAGCACTCACACAGTATAACAGGGAACCTTAATAACCCACTTTCACAATTAGATCAACAAGACAAAAAATCAACAAAGAAGTATCAGAATTAAAACTTGTGAACAAATGGACTTAGTAGACGATTACAATGTTCCACCCTACAACATAAGAATACACATTCTTAGCTGTACATGGGATGTTCTCTAAAACAGACTTCACATTAACCCACAGAACATGGTTAAGTAAATGCTGAGGAACCGAAATTATTCTATGCATATTATCTGATCACAGGCAATAAAACTGGAAATCAATGGTATAAATCCCACAAAACCTACATAAACACATGGAAATCAAACAATGCCCTCCAGTACAACCAATGGGTCACAGAGGAAATTAAAGACAAAATTAAATAGTTTTAACAATAGTAACTATTAATTTACTATCTACTAAGTTAAATAGTATCTACAATTTCATGTAATCTACAATTAAAGGAAAATGCCAATACAACACATCAGAGCTTATCGGATAAAATGAAAGAAGTCATAGAAGGAAAATTTATAGTGGTACATTTTCACATCAGAAAAACAGAAGGAGCTCAAATAACTTAATATTGAACCTCAAATTTGGAAAACAAAAAAAAAGGAAAAAAAATCAAATCCAAAGCTCACATAAGAAAGGAAATTATAGAAATTATAAAGATCAGATCATAAATTAATACAACTGAGACTAAGAAAACAATACAGAGAATCAATGAATCAAAGAGTTGGTTCTTTGAAAGATTAAATAAAATTTAAAACCCTCTACCCACCCTTATCAAAAATGGTGGGGGGAATATCCAAATTCAAGCAACTGTAAATGAAAAGTATCAAATCACAATGGATCTGTAGAAATTCAAAAGATCATTAATACCTGTTACAAGATCCTGTATTCTATAAAATGGAAAACACAGATGGACAGATTCCTAGATACATATGATTTATCAAAACTGAATAAAAAAGATACAAATATTCTAAATAAACTGCTCTCAGTCAGTGAAACTGAAAATATAATTAAAAACCTAACAAACAAAAGCCCAGGCCCTTACGGAATCACTGCTGAATTCTACAAGACATTTAGGGAAGATCTAATGTCACTAATGCTCAAGCTCTTTAATGAAATTGAAAGAGGAACATTTCTTCCAAAATCATTCCTGAAAGCAAGTACTACCTGACACCAAAACCAAAGACCAATGAAGAGAGAACTGCAAGCTAATCTCCTTCATGAACACAAAATTCTATAGAAAATAGAATGCAGCAAAATCATCAAGAAAATCATACACCCTAAGTAGGATTCATCACAGGGATTCAGGTATGGCTCAACATACAAATCAATAAATTTAGTACACCATATTAACAAAGACAAAAACGAAATGATCATCTCAATAGATGGAGAAAAAAGCATTTGACAAAGTACAACATCCATTCATGATAAAAGTCCAAAAAATTGCAATAGATGGTCTTTATCTCAATGTGATAAAAGCAACCTAGGACAAACCAACAGCTAACATCATACTAAATAGTCAAAAACCGAAAGCTTTCACTCTAAAATCAGGAACAACACAAGGCTGTCCATTATCATCGCTCTTATTCAATATAGTTCTGAAAATATTAGCCACAGCAATCAGATAAGAGAAAGAAATAAAAATGATAAGGATAAAAAAGGAAGTTAAATTATTGTTATTGGTGGATGACATGATATTTTACATAAAAGGCCTCAAAAATTCCACCAAAAAACTCATAAGTTAAATCATCAAATTCAGTATCTGGATACCAAGTCAACACTCAAAATCAACAGCATTCCTGTACACAAACAACAAATTCACTGAGAGAGAAATTAAGGAAATCATACTCATGTGTAAACATGAAATTGTTACCCTAAGAACACTTTTTTTTCTTTTTGTATATTTAGGACAGGGTCTACAGGGTCTCACTGTGTAGATCAGACTTGTAGTGATCCTCCAGTTTACAACCTCCTAAGTGCTGGGATTACAGGCATGCGCCACCACACCCAGTCTCAATTGCTGTCTCAGCACGCCCCAGGGGCAGGGCTGGCATGGCAGGCCCAAAATCAAACTTCTGGTTTAACAGCGATTACAGATTTATGTAGCCTAATGTAGAAGTCTATCAAAATAATCATGTACAGCAGTCTCTTTTTAGGTAGTGTCTGATACATACTAGATTCTCAACTGCTGTAGTGAATTAATTTTAATTCTCAATCATTTAGTCTTTACTCTTTTTACCTACCCTTGCCCTCTTTCTGTAGCTATCATAGGAGGGTTACACCAGAGTCATAAATGAGATCGCACCTATACAAGAAATCAGATGTTTTATTTTTTGCAGTATTGGGGACTGAACACTGGGCCCCACCACCTAGTTGTAACTCTAGCTTAACTTTTTTTTTTTTTAATCTCAATTTTTACCACAGGATCTCTAAGAAATTAGTTGTGCATACTGGGCTGGAACTTTCTATTCTCTTGCCTTGGCCTTGCACAATAGCAGAAAAATAGGCATGGACCACTATGTCTAGCTGAATGATTAAAAAACTTACATTTCATCATATCCTTGTACTCATCTAATGAGACTATAGACAGGAGGTCAATTCACTGACAGAAAATAGGAAACAAAGAGTTTTCTTAGCTAAAGTAAATAATTATCAACAGTTATGAAGATATGACCTCACAGAACAAAAAATCCCTACTAATAGAATACATGCAGTAGCTGTTATACTAATTTCTTTTACGTTTTTGCCTATTCTTTTTTTTTTTTTTTGCCTGGGAGGCCTGCCTTAAGAGCAGGTCTGGTGTAGCATGTGGTGCTGGGGATCGAACTGTGGTCCCCTGCACATGACTGAGTTTGCCTAAGCAGGTAGTTTAGACAACTGAGCTATCCCAACCCCCTGTTCTATTAAAGCATCTTCTATCACTATCATGGTGACCAGGTATCTTTTATAATTGTATAGCCTAATGTAAAAGTCTATCAAACTGCTGTAGTTCAGGTTAGTTTTGAACTGTACAGCAGTTTTATATGATGTCATGTTACACTGTTAAAAGAATCACTGTTCCCTTTGCATAATTATAAATAAGATTTCACTGTATTTCATAAACTATATTTTATCACTATATTATCTTATCTACTAACAAATTTATACTTAATATTAAATGCTGATATTAATTTCTTCCTTAGACAAAATGGATGCTCATGCTCACAATATAAAACTTAAAGTACTTTTTCACATTCTAAGCTTCTATTTCAATTA